CAAATCCCAGTGGGCTGGAGAGGCCAGCTACCAAGACAGGTACTGGTTAGGTATTAGGAACAATCTGCTCCCAAAGAGCAGTGAGGCAGTGGCACAGCTGCCCAGGGGAGTGGGGGAGTCACCGTCCCTGGAGGTGTCCCAGAGTCCCTGGAGGATCCCCAGAGCGTGGGGATGTGGCACTGAGGGACGTGGGCAGTGGGCACAGTGATGGTGGGCTGGGGTTGGACTTGGGGATCTGAGAGGTTCTTTCTAACCTTAGTGGTTCTGTGATTCCCCATAGGATGTCCTGGAGCTCGCCTTCTCCATAGTGTACGATGTGGAGGAATACTGCCTGAACTTTGTTGCCCCCACGCGCTATGAGGTGAGCTCCAGGGGCTACAGGAGGGCACGTCCTTCCCGAGGGGGTCTGATCAAGGGAGGACCCCTCTCTGCTCTCCCAGACCTGGAATTAGACACTAAAGGGTGATTTGTGACACTGCTCCCACCCTCCCCTACATAGCGCGGAGGAGCTGGGGTTCCCTGGCCTGCAGCCAGCGTGCTGGGCTAGTACTGAAAGAACAAAAATGCCTTTGTGCAGCCATGGCTGAGGGCCTGGAGGAATGTGAGGACTGCAGCTCTCTAGTTGGCTGCAAGATTTGGGGATGAACAAGGACCCAGTCTGACTGGGAAGGTCTGATGCGGAGCTGGGGGCCGAGCTGCCCTGTGCTGGGTGAAGGCGTGGGCTGAGCGTGGCACGGAGGGAGGTGCATTGGATACAGCTGCTTTGCCCTGGTGTTGAGAGCCACAGGGGGGTTCTCTGGCTGCCCAGAACTCTCCTGAGCTGCTTTGCTTCTCCAGTTTTGCCTGTGGACAGATGGGCTGAATGTGCTTCTGGGCAAGGAGATGACGAGTGAGAGAACGCAGACGGACCTCGACGTCCTGCTGTCGATGGAACTCAAACTGCGGCTCCTGGACCTGGAGAACATCAGCATCCCCGACAACCCCCCTCCTATCCCAAAGCCCCCCAGCAACCTCAACTTCTGCTATGACTTCAGCCATGCAGAACAGTGAGTTCCTGCATCCCCCCCTGTGCCCAATCCCTGTGCCCCCTCCTTTTCTCTGCAGGCTGCTCCATTCAGCTCTGAGATGTTTGGAGCTGGAAACATTCTGTTGCCTGCCAACAGCAAAACCCTTCCTCCAGGCTCTGTCCCCAAAGGGACGAGCCCAGGTGCTTGGATGGGGCTTGGGTATGCGCTGCCTGTCCCCTTCCCATGCTGGTGGCTGTGAGCAGGTCATCCTGTCCCCTTTTCCACACCTCTGCTATTTGCCCAGACAGAACTCACCAGCATCCTGGGGCAAACCACCTTCCCTTCACTGCCTGCATCAGGGCTGAGCCACTGAGCTTAAGGCTCATGCTCTGTTAGAGGGAAGGGAGCTCTCTGCTCTGCTCCTGAGCCACAGGCAGGAGAGACAAAACACTTCTCGACAGCTGAACCCCTTCATGCTGATGCTGTCCCCATACCCCCTTTGCTGCAGTCACACTGAAGGCAGAGGGCAAGGACAGCAGGAGGAGGGATTGTACAGACACTGCTGTAGCAGCTGGGGGGGTCAGCTTTACAACGTTACAGCCACACATCCTGACCCTCCCCAGCACAGCTGCTCAGGGTGGAGAATCCCCTCTGGGTGAAAAAGGAGTTAGGAAAGGCTGAAGTCCTCCCACTGCTTGGTTTGCTGAGCAGACAGCACTTTCCAGCGGGGTCAGCACTGCAGAGGGACAGACAGAAAAGCACTTAACGCACTGATTTTTTTCCTGCTCTCCTCCCTCTCCCTGCTGTGAGTGCTCCCAGGCCCAGGAAGGGCAGCAAGATGCTCCCAGAGGTTATTCAGGGTACAAATCCTCTTCCCTTGCACAATATGAGACGGGCACAAACTTGATGCCCGGAGCCCAACCCCAGCGCAGCACAGAGCTGCTCACGTTAACCTCGGTGCCTTCCCCGCCCCGGCGGATATTGCACACTCAGCCATGCTGCTGCACTACTGCATTATGACAAGCTACCTCCTCTGTGGCCCAAACGTCCCCCAACCCCGGTGCCCTGCACCTCCTCGTGCCTACGGCTTCTCCAGGGGGTGTTGTAGTAACCAGGGTGCAGCCTGTGAGCCTGCGGCTGTCTGAGCACTGGAAACGCATGCTGCAGGGTGGGCAGGGCCTGTGCCCCCCACCTCCTGCAGATTTGGGCAATAAACACTTGTGGAGAACTCAGCACTGTGTCCTTTGCAAAGGTTTGGGAGATGAGGGGCTAAAGAGCATGAAAGGGGGCAAAGCAGAGCTGGGCATGCGCTGCCCTTCTGCTGGTGTGTGCCAGGAGAAGAATCACAGAATCACAGAATGATTTTGGGTTGGAAGGGACCTCAGGGATCACAAAGCTCCAACCCCCTGCTTGTATGCAGGGCCACCAACCTCCACATTTAACCAGGCTGCCCAGGGCCCCATCCAACCTGGCCTTGAACACCTCCAGGGATGGACGGGGCATCACAGCCTCTCTGGGCAGCTGTTCCAGCACCTCACCACTCTCATAGTACAGAACTTCCCCCTGACATCCAAACTCAATCTTCCCTCCCTCAACTTCAAACCATTTCCCCTTGTCCTTCTGTTATCTGCCCTTTCAAAGAGTTGATTCCCCTCCTGTCACACAGGATCACAGAATCACAGAATCACAAGGTTGGAAACGACCTGCAAGATCATCTAGTCCAACCACCCTCCCATTCCTATCAGTGCAACAAGCTACTAAACCATCTCTTGTAGCTCCTCGTCCAGGCGCCTCTTGAACACTACCAGGGACGGCGACTCCACCACCTCCTGGGCAGCCATTCCAGTGCCTTACCACCCTTTGAGAGAAAAAGTTTCTCCTAATATCCAACCTAAACCTCCTCTGGTATAACTTCTGGCCATTTCCTCGGGTCCTACTATTTGCCTGGGAGAAGAGGCCAGACCCTTTTGCACCACAACCTTCCTTCAGGAAGTTGTGCAGTGCAATGAGGTCTCCCCTGAGCCTCCTCTTCTCCACACTGAACAATCCCAGCTCCGTCAGCCGCTCCTCATAAGACTTGTGCTCCAGACCCCTCACCAGCTTCGTTGCCCTTCTCTGGACACATTCCAGGGCCTCAATGTCTTTCTTGTAGTGAGGGGCCCAAAACTGAACACAGTACTCGAGGTGCGGCCTCACCAGTGCTGAGTACAGGGGATGCTCACCTCCCTGCTCCTGCTGGCCACACCATTTCTAATGCAGGCCAGGATGCCGTTGGCCCTCTTGGCCACCTGGGCACACTGTCGGCTCATGTTCAGCCAAGCATCAACCAACACCCCCAGGTCCCTTTCCTCTTCACAGTCATCCAACCACTCATCCCCAAGCCTGTAACGCTGCATGGGGTTGTGGCCGAAGTGCAGAACCCGACACTTGGCCTTGTTAAACCTCATCCCATTCATCTCAGCCCAGCGATCCAGCTTATCTAGATCCCTCTGCAGGGCCTCCCTGCCCTCAGGCAGATCAACACAACCTCCCAACTTGGTGTCATCTGCAAACTTACTCAGGGTGCACTCAATCCCTTCATCTAAGTCGTCAATGAAGATATTAAACAGGATGGGTCCCAGCACCGACCCCTGGGGGACACCACTTGTAACAGGTCTCCAGCTGGACTTCACTCCATTGACCACCACCCGTTGAGCACGGCCCTCCAGCCAGTTCCTTATCCAGCGGAGGGTAAAACTGTCCAAGCCACGGGCAGCCAGTTTCCGCAGAAGGATACTGTGAGAGACCATGTCAAAGGCTTTGCTGAAGTCTAGGTAGACTACATCAACTGCCTTTCCCTCATCTGCCAGTCTGGTCACCCAGTCGTAGAAGGAGATGAGGTTGGTCAAACACGACCTGCCTTTCATGAACCCATGCTGGCTGGGCTTGATCCCGTGGACAAGCTGTGTGATCTCTCCCAGGAGGATTTGTTCCATGACTGTCTGTAGGCTCCCTTTAGGTACTGAAGGCTGCAGTGAGGTCACCCCACAGCCTTCTCTTCTCCAGGCTGAACAGGCCCAGCTCCCTCAGTCTGTCTTCTAGGGGAGGTGCTCCATCTGCTCCCCCTGATCATCTTTGTGGCTCTCCTCTGGACCCTCTCCAACAAAACACTTCTTGTAGTGTGCTGGGGAGCTCCCAGGGCCCCAGAAGTGGAAACACTCCTTGTTGCGCTATGGAAACAAGCTGGGAGTGGGGAATGGCATCCTGGAAGCGCAATGTGTGCTTTACAAAGGATGGCTGGCAGGAAGAGTTCATTCATGGACATGCCAGTGCAGGTGCAAAGAAGGGCAGCAAGGCTAGGGGAGGGCTTGGAGAGCGTGCCCCATGAGAAGGACAACGAGGAGACCTTATTGCTCTCTTCAAATACCTGAAAGGTGACTGCAGCAGAGCAGGGCTGGTCTCTTCTCGCTGGTGACAGGTGACAGGATGAGGGGAAATGGCGTCAAGTTGCACCAAGAGAGGTTTAGGCTGGATATCAGGAAAAGCTTCTTTACAGAAAGAGTTGTTAAGCACTGCAATGGGCTGCCCAGGGAGATGGATGAGCCACCATCCCCGGATGTGCTTAAAAGCCGTCTGGATGTGGCGCTCAGGGACGTGGTTTAGCGGGGGAATGTTAGAGCTGGGGTAATACGGTCCGGCTGCGGTTGGACTCGATGATCTTCAAGGTCCAACCGGACCGACTCTACGGTTCTATGATGCCCGCTGCAGGGCGGAGGAGCTGGGAAGGAGGCTGGAAACAGCCTCGGGAGCACCGCGGATGGCCGCCCTGAGAGCTGCGGCGCCCGAGGATGATGCCAACCCCTCTGAGCCTCAGCACCCAACCCCGCGGCTCCGGGACGCCCCGCGGCGCTGTGACCCCCACATCACGAGCAGCTCCTCCCCGCTCCCCAAAGGCACCAATAGCCCCGATCCCCGATGTGAAGGCCGCCATCCCCGCCCCGCGGGCGGAGCCGGAAGGGGCAGCGCGGAGCGGAGCGGCCATGGCGGTGAGCGGCGGGGCAGGGAGGGGAAAGGGAAGGGAGAAAGGGGGGAGGAGAGCGGCGGGATCCGCTGACCGCCTGTCTCGGCTCCGCAGCCCAAAGGGAAGGCGGGCACCAAGGGCAAGAAGCAGATCTTCGAGGAGAACCGCGAGACGCTGCGCTTTTACCTCCGCATCATCCTCGGGGCTTCCGTGAGTGGCGGGGGGCGGGCGCGGGGCCGGGCTGGCGGGGCCGGGCTGACGGTGCCCTCGTGTCCCGCAGGCCGCGTACGCCGTGATCAACCTGCTCGTGTTCTACTCGACCGCTTCCGCGTGGACGTGGGTGAGTGCCCGCATCCCAACCCGGCTTCCCGGGCCGGCCGCTCGGCGTCTCACGGTCCCCGTTCTCGTGGCAGCTGGCGTTCGCGTTCAGCTCGGCGGTGTACGGCGCCAGCTACCGCTCCATGAGCTCCATGGCACGGCCGGCGTTCGCGGATGACGGCAGCCTCGCGGACGGCGGGATCGACCTGAACATGGAGCAGGGGATGGCAGAGTGAGTGTCCTCACCCGCACGAGCCCAGGTGAGCGGGGCCCGCAGCCCCAGCCCGGAGCGTGCCCCACTTCTCCTTGTCTGAGCCGGGCTGCCTCAATGCTAATCTGGTCGTTTCCAGGCTATAAACCTCCTTGCTTTGGCCCTTTCCGCCCTCCTGTAGTTGTGCACGGTGCCCGTTCGACCTTCCTGGCGCTGGCACCGCTGGCTTTTCCTTGCTTGAGGAGCACCCAGCAGTAATTCCTGCTTAGTGATGTTAAGAAAAAGAGAGAGAATAACACAGGCGTGCTGCTGCAGCTTCTTATCTCACAGTCAAGATGTTGTCTGCCCAGGGGAGCTGCTTGGTTTTCACATCTTTCTGGAAGGAGCACAGATTCACAGAACCGTAGAATGGTTTGTGTTGGAAGGGACCTCAAGGATCACGAAGCTCCAACCCCCCTGTGCCATGCAGAGCCACCAACCTCCACATTTCATAGCAGCCCAGGCTGCCCAGGGCCCCATCCGACGTGGCCTTGAACACCTCCAGGGGTGGACGGGGCATCACAGCCTCTCTGGGCAGCTGTTCCAGCACCTCACCACTCTCATAGTACACAACTTCCCCCTGACGTCCAACCTCAATCTTCCCTCCCTCAACTTCAAACCATTTCCCCTTGTCCTGCTGTTATCTGCCCTTTCAAAGAGTTGATTCCCCTCCTGTTTGTAGGCTCTCTTTAGGTACTGGCAGGCTGCAGTGCAGTCACCCTGCAGCCTTCTTCAGGCAATTTGAATTGATTTGTTATTGCTTGTTTCTTTGTTTTTAACAGAAGCTTCATTTCTGCAGCCAGCAGGCGAATGGAGACATCAGGCAAACTGACTTGTGCAGCTCAGAACCTGTTCTCTCTGCACGCCACGAGCTTCCATCTGCTGTGGTTTTGCTTCTCAAGAAGTACATTTTAGCACAATAACTGAAATGTGTGATGTAGGAGACTCAGTCGCAGGGGGAAGGCAGGCTGAAAAAGAGGCAATTATCTCTAGTATGACTTGTGAGCCAGTTGTGTTACACCCTGTTCATCCTCTATGACTTCTTGTTCCTGCCTGGCAGCAGAGTGTTTTTACACTCGCCGTTTCTTTTGGCTCTCATGAACAACTCCAGAAGTATAAAATATTTTGGATACTTTTTTTTTGTGGAAACACGATACGAGACAGTTGAGTAATGAAAATAAGGAAGTTTGATGTCACCTCGAGTATCCTAGCTGTGGGAGATAATCCTGGGATATATCAGGCAACAAATCACGCTGGCTGCTTTGATAACTGATTCATGCATGTGTGTGATGGCACTGCTGGACTTCACCTCCTGGGCTTTTGGAAGGCTGATGTAGGGGCTTGCTGGTATCTTGGAGAGCTGGGTGCAGTGTATGAGTTCCCCTGTGTGATCAGTGCTGGTGACACACTAAATTTTGGAACCTGTGTCTCACTGTGGCACTGTTAATGGCAGGTTCAGCAGTTTCTTGAGTTCTTGGTATGGTGACGGCGTCCCAGTGTAAAATTGTTTCTGGTGATGAATTGCAGAATCACAGAGTGGTTGAGGTTGTCGGAGGGACCTCTGGAGGTGACCTGGTGTCCCCCATGCTCCAGCAGGGTCACCCAGAGCTGTGCCCAACACCACGTCCAGGTGGCTTGGAAGATCTCCAAGGAGCCTCACTCCGCAGCCTGCCTGGGCAGCCTGTCACTCTGCTTGGTCACTCTGATAGCTTCCAGATGTTCAGAGGGAATCTCTTGTGTTCTGGACAGATCCTGGCTCTGTCCCCTGTGCATTCTTCCTTCAGGTATTTATGGACATTGATGGGACCCCCCCTAAGCCTTCTCCAGGCTGAACAGTCCCAGCTCTCCCAGCCTTTACTTACAGGAGAGATGCTCTTGTCCTTTCATCATCTCTGTGGTCCTTTACTGGACTCTCCCCAGTTTCTCCATGTTTTTCCTGCACCCGGGAGCCCAGAACTGGGCCCATTATACCCAGATGTGCCTCACCAGCGCTGAGCAGAGAGGAAGGATCACCTCCCTGCACCCACTGGCAACAATCCTAATGAAATCCATGACACCATTCACCTTTGCCCCAAGGACCCATGACTGCCTTATCTTTAATGCTGTTGTTCTTGCCAGTCAGATGGCCTGTAGCAGACACCCATTACAACATCACTTGCACCTGTCTTCTCTTTATTCTTATCCCATAAACTCTTGGTTAGCTCTTCATCTATCTCCAGGCACAGCTCTGTGTGCTCCTGCTGTGCTCCCCCTCCTCTTCCCACACAGTCCTTCTGAAACAGCCTGCATCCTTCCACTGCAGCACTGCAGTCATGCGAGCCATCTTACGGCCTTGCAACTGCACACACATCTCCAGCTCATCCTTTTCATTTCCTACCCTCTGTGTGTTGGTATACAGCCTCCTATCCTCTGCAGCAGGGTGTCACTCACTGCCATAGCTCACCACTTCTTCCTGGTGCTCTTGCTTTGGTTAGGGTTAGCTGTAGCCACTTCTTTGCTTACAGGAACATTGACTCCTCTTCAGTGTTGACCGTGGTGAACTTACTTTGGGTGTAAGCCCTTAGATTGGGCAGGAGCTTTCCTCTTGGTGCCAGAAGCCACCAGCTTTCTCCTGAGGCTGCACTTACCTCCACTGTAGGGTGGGCAGTGCCTGCTTCTCTTCTGTGATGGTGGGCTGAGGCTCTTCCAGCTGTGGCAGGGGGAAGATCCTGTCCATCTCCCTTTTGTCTCTGATGGTGCACAGCCTGCTCACTTCTCCTAAATCTTCCACTTTGTGGCACAGCTCCTTCAGGGCAGGAACCATCCTCTCTCCTGTCTTCAGAGGCAGGCTCCAGGCACCCCCTGCAGCCTGGCACCTGGCGGACTGCACCTCCTATCCAGCGCTCTGTCCACCCTGGTAGGGATTGCTGCTCCAATAATGGTTCAGTGGGAATGAAAGAGTTGGCATTTTTCTAACCCCATCCCGGCACTCCTTTGTGGCTTGTGTTGGAAAACCAAACACTGCTCCTGTCTCCTCGCTCTCAGGCTGGCCGAGGAGCTGGTGGCTTTGGTGGGGGCTGAAATGGGGAGGTTCACGTACTGCTTTCCTTCCCTCAGGCACCTCAAGGATGTGATCCTGCTGACAGCAATGGTCCAGGTTCTGAGCTGCTTCTCACTCTACGTCTGGTACTTCTGGCTCTTGGTAAGCCCTGCGCTTGTTCTTGTTGCTCCGAGTTGTCTGTCTTTCCCCATCTTCAGAACGCAGAATATAATTTATCCATTTCACCTCAAGGTGTCCTGTTTCAGGCTGAAAATTTTTCCTGATAAAGAAAAAATTATCTCATAAAACGTTGTAAAAATACAAAAAAAAAAAAGAAGTCCTGATCCTTCTGGGTCAGTCCCGTGGTAAACTGTGCAAAAAACTAGGTTGGCCTTGACCTTTCCCTCTGGTCCTGAGAGGCAGCAACAGGAACCATGGAGCAGATGAAAGCTGCCTTTGTGCATAAGAGCTGTTTTCTTTGCCTTTTTGTGACTGAGACAGACTGTTTCTTCTTGCTTGGATTTCTCAGTCATTCACCAGCACTGACTGAGGCTGGGAACTGCAGGACCCCATGCCACTGAGTAGAACAAACTGCAGGCTTTCATCCCCCTTAACATCAGGTGCTTTCTGTTCCTGAAGCGTTTCTCATGCACCTCCAGCTAGAACTGCTTTTACAAAAGGATGAAAAACCCAAATCTCCTGGCAATTAAAATAATATTACAGCAGAGTTGCCTGGGGTCTATCCCATGTAAGTATGGCAGAAAGGCATCTTGTTTTCATCCTTACCCACAAGTTAGTTCCTACCCAGTTCTGGCAGGGGGCAGCCTCGGCTCTGGCTCCCCTGCACACCATATGGATCATGTTTTTTTCCTTCAGAGACGTGTGATTTTGCTTCTGAAGAAGGGACAGGCAGAACCAGCCAGGAAGTCAGATCTTTCTGGGTAATTCAGAACTGATGCTGTGATTTCCATGTCTGAAGTCTAAGTGCTGCGTTCCCAGAAATGTATGCACGCTCCTGAATTCTGTGAAATCAGGCCATTTATTTTGGGTGTCTGCCACTGCCTTTGATTTCAGTGGATCTTGTGACGTCCCTGACCCAGCCTGTAGATGTTTTCCAGCTCCTTTGGTTTCCTCTGTAGGACCAGCCCACCCTAACCTGCCAAAATCACATCCAGAACGACTGACTTTGCTTCCACACGTGTTTCGCAGGCTCCGGGCCGTGCTCTCTACCTCCTGTGGGTGAACATCCTGGGGCCCTGGTTTACAGCTGAATCTTCAGCCCCCAGTCAGGAGCCGAACGAGAAGAAGCAGCGCCGCCAGGAACGCCGCCAGATGAAGCGCTTCTAGCCCTGGCTGAGGAGATAGGTGAATGCTGTCTCTCATTTCCATGCTGTTATCTCATCAGGGATGCGACTGAAGCCAATCAGAAAGCATCGCAGTATCTACGTTGCCCTCTGTCACTGCTGCCATTCCAAGATGAAGGCTGCGAGAGACTTCCCTTGGTTGGTTCTTAGTGCCAGTCGAGGCCTTGCTCCTCGTGATGACAAGTAGGGGGTTATGCTGGGATGTGTGTAAATACCTTTCTAAAGTAGTGCTGTATCGCATTCGAAGGTGAGGATTGCAATGCTGGAGGAAATATATTAAAGAGCAGAGTCTAATTGGCCATGCTGGCAGTGTGTTCATAGAGGGGTGCTCACGGAGGGCAGTGGTGAAAAACAACAGCGTGTTTGTGGAAGCCTGGGCTGCATGGAAGCCAAATCCCCAGGCTGAGTCGTTTCATCCCTTCCCTAGGTTGCTCTGTGCTGTGCTGCCTCTTGCAGCACCCAGTCTGCAGGGGCTTCAGCTCCCCTGTGAGTTCTGTTGGGCCTGCAGCAGCTGGAGGAGCTACAAACTGCATGTGCAGCCCAGCGTGGAGCATTTGGGATTTAGCCTGGGCTCAAATTGGTCTGTGCTACCTTTAGGGGAGCTCAGTCAGATGAAAGGTTCCAACAGAATTGAAAAGCAAATCTTTTTGTTTTGTAAAAGCTCCCCCACAGATAGCATAGCTGAGGTGCTGTGACTGTGGCAGAGATTTCACGTTAGAAACCACACACAGCTCAAGGCAACATCTGCTGTTGCCTACTTTGATTTATTCTTGCTGTTCCTGCTCATTAGGTGGTTTTGCACACTGGTGACCCCTTCCTGCCCCTGACGCACCAGCTCAGCACCATGCAGCTTTGCCCACGTGAGTGAGCTCTGTGGTTAGTGCCAGTGGCACCAGCCTGGCTTTTGCACTTGATGCTGTCCGTAAGGTTTGGTCCACACAAAGTTTCCATTACATGGGTTTTATTACACCTTTGTTCGTAACATCAAGCCAGATCCCTACCCCGAGTCCTTTGTGCCTTGATGCCTGGCAGAGCACGTATTTGGGGTGCAGTCGTGTTTACTTGTAGGTCTGCACGGCCTGCAATGACGGGGCAGGTATCTAGAAGCAGAGAGAGCAGAGGTCATTATCTGGGGGGACTGAAGTCCTTCCTGCCCGTCAGGGAGGACATGAGGAGAGCACCACTTGGAACCTTGAGGACCCTGGACTGGTGCAGCTCCTAGGCTCTGCCCTTGCTCCCTCTAACCCCTCGTTTCCCCAAAACCAACGCGGAGTAGCACAGCGTTCCCCAAAATGCACGGACCTGGGCAGGGGGGAAATCAACAACAACCACACCGACCATCTCAGCTGTGCTACCCTGCACAGCAGTACATGCACATCAGCCTCCCGGGCAGAAGCCCGAGCTGTGCCATCTTCTTCAGGCAAAAACTGGCCTGACAGCCCCAATAAATACTGAATAAATAGAGCCAGCGTCAGCCGGATGCTGGCAGGATGCACTGAGGCACGCGGGGCGGCCGTGGGGTGCACAGTGCTGCTCACTCAGGCAGCAGCTCTTCCAGCTCCTGCTCATCCAGCTGGTTGGTGGTGACAATGTGGTCGAGCTGCTTCATGTACCGCTCCAGGTCCTGCATGAAATGGGGGATGCGAGCCTTTTCCAGGACGCCAAATTTCTTCAGGCGGTTCACATCTTCGTAGGAGACCTGGTGGGAAGCAAAGGGATGGATCAGCATGTGCAAATGAAAGGGTTCTATTCCCCTGTGACCCTCTTTGCCTGCCTGGCTGGGTTTTCTACACTCACACTGCCCAAATGGGACCACGGACTGCCAAGGGATGGAAATGAAGGCTTGAGGTAAGTTTTGAAAGAAAGACATGGGAGGAAAAAAAACATCTGCAGAGGCAAAAATGCCTGCAGGGCAAGTATTTGGCTGAGCCAGGTCTCAGCTTTGGGAAAATACGTAGACAGGAGAAGCTGGTGATGCCTGCACCTGAGCTTTGGGTCAGGGCAGGATGGGTACAGCAAAAGAGGAGCCAAAGACCAAACATGAAGAGCTGTGCCCCTACATACAGGGGCTGGTGAGGAGAGATGTGGAAGGAAGTGAGATGGCCTCACAGAGCTGGAGCCAAGGCTGCGTTCGTAGTGCAGGCTGACCATAAAACCTGACCATTTCTGGGCAGAAGGAAGGCAAAGCAGAAAGGGCTCATGATAATGCTGTGTTCCTGTTGGTGCTGCATGCAGAGCTGCCTGGACGTGGGCTGCCTGTATGCTGCTGCTTGATTTTGCTGTCTGGACAGAAGATGAGACAGTGTCTGATACAGTGTCTCGGTGCCCTAGGAAAAACCCTGTCTGCTCTCACCAGGACAGCACATCTGGCTGCCTAAAACCAGAAAGCCCCTTGCCAGTGTGGAGCTTGAAGTGTGACCCCAGGCTCCTACCTTTCCAAGAGCAGCCAGCAATGGGAAGTCGATTGTCTGCCGATGTCGCAGGATGCGGAGAATCCCATCCAGGTACACCTGGTCCTTACTGAAGCAGCCTGGAAAAGAGAGAGGGCCTGGGAAACACCAGGAGATGACTCCAGGATAAACCCTATCTTCCCAAATGTGTTGGGGCTGGCAGGAAGGAAAAGACTCAGAGGATGAGCAGAGCCAGCACTGGGGTCCCCCGCCACGGAGAAGCCTGGGCAGCAGAGAGCAGCAAGGCTCCATTCCCCAGCCCTTAGGAAAAAGGGACAGGCACTGGAGTCTCACCATTTTACACATGCTGTGTGATTGCTTTTTTTTTAACTGCTAGAGTCTAAAAGCATCCTCAAAATGCTTATCTTTTTCCTCCTTTGGCTCCTTGAAAGGCTGTGCAAGGAAGGGCTAAGATCCATCAGAGTGGGAGGACGCCACGGGGCTCCCCAGGATGCCTCATCCATCCCTACCTGATGGACAGCAGCCGGAAAGGTGATGGGGCAGCTGGGTATTGAAAAATATACCACAAAGGAAAGTGTAAATCTATATGAAAACAGAGCTGGGGATGAGGGAGGATGAGAGGGCAGCGTGGAAGGATTCTCTGGCTGGTGATGGCAAAGCCACCCAGCACCAGAATGCATCCACAGAAATACAAAAATCCCCCCAAAACATGGAAGGCTTTGTACCTGGCTGTGAGGTGTCAGTCTGGCCCCGCTTGGCCCGCACGCAGTACTCCCACCGGATGCCAGCATCCTGGACGTATTGCTCCAGGTCCTGGAAGAGCGCGGAGAAGGAGAGGTGGCTGGCCCTCTCAATGGTGTAGTAGAGCAAGGCTGCACGCCAGAGGAAGGGCTGCTTGCGGAAGAGGACACTGTGCAGGCTGGCCAAACCTTCCTCCGTGGGGTTGGCAGGCTTCAGGCTGTACTGCTTGCGGCCCTCCGAGCTGTGCCAGGGCTGGCGGGTGTTGTTCACCCCACGGATGTAGTGCGTGCCTGAGGAGATAACAGCAAGCGTCGTCAGCTGGGGGCAACTTGGAGAGCCTCAAGAATCTCAACCCTACTGCGTCCACCCTGCCTGCTATCCCCACATCCCCATGATGACACTGAGGATGCTCAGCATCCTCCCCGCTGTGCCCACGGTCCCCCCAGTGCCCCACTGACCTATCTCATGGCGCAGCATGCCCTCCAGCCAGAACTGCCGGGCTCCAGACAGGTTGATGGCCAGTGTTGGTCGGCTGTCCTCCACCATCATCACAGCCTGAGACAGGAGATCATCGGTGAGCTGCACCACTACCTGCAGAGGAGAGAGGAGGAGGCAAGCAGCCACGTTAGCGATCTTTCACTGGCTCAGAAACAGCAGATGGTACTTTGGGCAACTCTTCAAAACCTCTAAAGGAAACGCACTACAACTATTCCAATCCAGAGAGGATACATCAAAACTAGAGATACCAGGAGGCTTCCTTGAACTGATGAGGAAATGGATGACCGCCTGCTCTAGGTGGGTGCCTGAGTAGAGGGTTGGACCCGATGGCTTCCAAGATACCTCAAGCATCCTGTTTTTCAGAGATTCTGTGAAATGCTTGCCCTAACACGTTTGGTAATATTCCTGCACCCTGGGAAAGCCAAACCACATCCACTGGTGTGCTTGCAGAGAGGGGACACGCCTGGTGATGGTCACATGGCTGAGCAGGGTTGGGTGGGCACTGCCCCCCGAGATGTAGCAGGATGGGCCTGGAGCCCAACACGAAGTAGCTCCTCTCAGCTAATCACAATCACAAAATCTGAGCAGGCTGTGGGGAAGCTGGCTGGCTGCCCTACACATCCCATCCCCACCTTCTGTCCAGCTGCAGACGGCTCCCAGTGTGCTGCAGGACCGAGACAGATGGATAACCTCCCTAAAACCCAAACCTGGGAAGGTGCTGTGCACACAGCTGAGGGCAGAGCACAGCAGATTTGCACAAGCAGCATCAGTGTGCCACCACATGTTCCTACTTCCGTAGCTCAAGTCTTCCAGAGCAACACTCTAGGAAATGAAGCACTAAGAGTAACAAACACTTTGCTCCAGCAGAGCCTTCTCATCCATCCCTTGAGCACCGCAGTGGGAATGTTTCTCATAGGCTTTATGTGCTTTGTAATGAGTCCTACTTACAGAGCACCTGCCAAAAATCTCTCACAAGGGAACCTACCTTCATTCTCACATCTTCATCTCCTTTTTATTATTGCTTTTAGCGCTTCAAGAAAAGTGCAACAAGAACAGATCCATCCAACACACTTGCAGCCAAGAGCTGCCAGCCACACACATATAGCCACGCTTCCCACCTGGACATTTGTCAGCTGTGATTAACAGCACAACTGGTGAACACCTTTACACAGAAAGAAATAGCTCACATCAGCATGTTTGCTCTCTGACCCACCCTGGAGGTGGATCTTGTGCCTCTCCTGTGATATGAAGAACCAAACTCCATATAGCCAAGGTCACAGGAGGTGTTTGCATTGGCACACACCTCAAAAATCCCTCTGCCACGTATGTGTGAACTCTAAAAGCCATCTGTTTCAGAGCTGAAACTGTCCAGGTTGAAAAGCAGAAACCTGACAACATTGTAATCCTGAGCATCGCCTTCAAGCTTCTCAGGTTTCACTGCAAAATTGCTAGCACAGCCCAAACCAAAGCACTGATTTACTGCTACATTAAAGCTTTCGTCTCTTTTTCTTTTTAAAAAAGAGAGGAGACTAAATCAGTTTGTTTTAAACCCAGATTTATTATTGTACAATGCTGTTCATTAAAGCCAGGAGTGCAACGTAACAGAGCAACACCGAGTACTGGGCAAATTAACAGCATAAAAAGACTTACATGGCAATGGTTTAACTGGATCACATAGATGAAAGACACAGAGGAAAGACTTGCCGCTGTACTTTTAATGTGCACATCCCTTCAATTTTACTTCTGTTCCAGAAAGCAATTCAAAATAATTAAAACTTGTCCTCCCACTGCCCCTCCCCACATCCAGCCAGCACTCAGAGGTCACTGCTCCAACCTCAGCCTAAGGCACAAGTCCAAACCCGGGACCCCAGTGAGCTGAGTCCCGGAGAGGTGGCTGAAAACTGGAGACTGTTTCACATAAGCAGAAAGGAGGAGGCACATAGGAGCCAAACCCTGGTATTATTTTAACTAATTCCTATCCATTATATCAACTCGGTGTGACACGAACACAACAACAAGCATTGCAATCCCAAATGAAAACAGCTGAGGCTGAAATCCTGGAAGCTGAGAGGGGAAGGGAAGACAAGAGAGAACTTAAAGACAAAAATGCTTTTCATTGTCACAGTACTCCTCCTGCTCCTCCAAAGCCACTGCTGTGTTCTTCAGCACAGAACTAGCGCCTGAACTCCTGTGACAGTCCTTTGCTGTCTGACCTACAGCTGTTCCAGGGAACACAGGACTTGATGTGCTGTGTCAGCTTGTGGGGCTCAACTTCAAGGACACCATCCAACACACAGTGCTTGGCTGGCTGGGACATCTTGCTGCCTTGTCACTCTTAGTTGTCCCTACAGGAAAAAAGAAAAACAAACCACGAGGAGGTTGGGATTTAGGATATGAGATACTGGGTAGCTGCAGAAAAGATAACCTCTTCCCTAGCATAAATGTTCCCACTTATACCTGCTTTCCATCAGCCTGTTTAAAAAGTAAATAATCAGAAAAATACATTGCCCAATTGTCCATGCTGTGGCAAACTCCTCAAGGACGATGACTTGTATTCAGTGGTTTTCTATGTCCCCTCTAATGTCTGTTCCACTGGGAACTGCTTCTTTGGGGTTATCCCAGCTGGCAGCTTTTGGGAGGGTGTTGCTCACTTGGCATCCCCTGAACAGCTCAGGTTTCAGTATTTGAAAAGCTGACTGTGAAAACAACACTGTAAGAGCACCCACACAAGTGAGAGAGAGATTGCATAAACCCAAGAGTTTAACTGCAAGAATCCAATTCCTGAGGTCAGTGCTCCATGCAGACCAACTCTGCTGTTCTCATGACATCCAACTCTCCCCTCCTGTCTGTACCTTCATCCCCACCACCAAAGAAAACTAGCCAGCCTTACGATAGCCTGATCTGCCCGTGGCTTCTTCCTCTGCTGTAAGAGGAATGCCTTGCTGAAGAAGGCAACTCTTTCATCTGCAGCACAGGTTGCTCCTTATTTGATAAGGATGGATTTGCTGGAAGTTCAGACATTTTTCTCCCACTGCTGACCACAGGAGTGACACAGGGCCTATGGATTTTCTCCTCTTGTATTTCACCCAAAGGCAAAAAGCATCCCTCAGATCAGCTGCAGATTAAATCGCTTCTTCATACAGCCCTGGTTGCTAAACCTACATTCATTCTGATGCACTCTAACAGTGGGAAGAAGGCATTCTGAACATCAGGGTTCTGCTCAGGGGTGAAGGAAGTGAATATTCCTTGCTGTATAGGAGCTGCTAAATCATGGCCTGAACCTCTGATTGACCACCTGAGGCAAGCAATGGGGCAGCCATGGGAACACAGCTGAAGGCAATTCACTTGTGCTGCAGGAAGGGATGGAGCCTGGCTGCACCTCTCCTAGATCCCATTTAAATGCTGACTGCCACTGAGGAAGGATCCTTCCCTAGAGGTTACTCCTTGTGGAGAATATTGTGAGCCTACAGCATTGGTAAGCCTTTTCCACTTATTACCTTTCTGTTGTGACAATCTTACTTAGCCTAAAACTCTGTAAGCCAATTGATTTTTACATCTCTGTACACCTATTGATTGTACACCCTGCTCAAGCAGGATTTTGCTGGATGGGGGTGGCAGCCCCAGGGATGCCTAACAAGGCCTTACCCCTGCTGCCATCTGGGTGTGCTGCCAGGGTCCATCTTGGTCAGGGAGGTCCCTTTTTGCACAAAGCTCCTCATCAAGAGACCCACAGAGAGAGATGCCTCAGCTTTAATAAGCTGTAAACACCTGTGACAGAGCACTCTGTGATGTTGAGAGCTGAATCACTTTCTCTGGATTTATACTGTAGCACAAGTCAATCATCACTGGGCTTGGCAACCCTATCAGATCACTGTACAAGGGGTCTTGGGGCAATCCTTCATGCGTAGGCACAAAGTAACCATCAGGCACAGAAGGCACTTTTTTTTTTTTTTTTTCCTCTCTTGTGGTAAAGACAACGCTGAACCCAACTGCATGAAATGGAATCTATTTCTGTTTCTATACAAGAGCTAGATGACATCAAGTGAAGTGATTAGGAAGCAGATTCAGGACAAAGAAGCATCAGTGAACTGTGCAACCTGTTGTGGGAGGTTTACAATGGCTCAAATCTGTTATCCATATGAATGGATTCTCTTGAACACCTTCTCTTGAATAGAAGACACTGCACTGCAGAGTCAGAAGGCCATGTGACATTGAGGGGAAAAGGGTGAAGGTCTTCTGAGCAGGTTGGGCAGGAAATGTGTTTGTTTGACAGTTCAGTGATGATGATGTTTTGTCTCATCAGACAGAAGCTCCAAGAACTGCTCCATGCAAAGCCAACCCTCTGGGTGCAATTCTGCATACCTCCAGGGAAGACTGCAGCTTGGCTGCTCGTGTTGCACTGCCCACAGCACGTTTCTGGATTCAGCAGTTGGCACTGAAACCTGATGCTTCCACTGGAAAGCACAGATCCTTGCAAGGTTCTTGTGTATGAGTGCATACACAAGAATGAGTGCAATTCCCATCACCATTGTTTCACAGAGTGCCCACATTTTAAGCACAAACTCCAGCACATCCTTGTGTTCCATTAAGCAGTCTGTCCAGTTTGTGGGTGTAATGACAGAGGAAAGAGCTCCCTAAGAACTGCAGGAAGAAGCAGAGCATGCTGATGGGGCCAAAGCCTCCCAGCAGCACTGACAGCAGTGTGTGCATCTGCTCTGTACTGGCAGGGTGTGGTGGGATGGGCTGGGCCAGCACCGCTGCCAGAACCTGAGGACACACTAGCCAGCGTTATTTAAGAACATTTCACAATGCCTGGATTACTACACAGTACTTACCAACGGTCAGAGGTTTCTTTAGTGCAAACTGAGCAGCTGGGAAATCCATGAATAATGGAAAGCAGGCATCTGAGCTCCAGCAGCATCACCTCAGCCCTGAGCCAGAACAGAACCAGAAAAGCCTCAGAACCTGCAGCTTGGACTACAACAGAGAAACTCTTGAATATGCAAAGTTCACTGCAGTGCAAATACTTACCCATAAACACGCTCCCTGGGGTGCTGGAAACTGGCATCCTGCCTTCATCACAGCTCAGACCATCCCTCCACACCACAAGTGCCAGGGATGGGGGCACAAAAGGAGCACTCTGCACTGACATCTCCTTGGCAGCCAGTGCCACCAGCCCTGCCCATTTGCAGGCAGTTCAGATCGCTGATGCACTGAAGTGACTTTCCTTTCCTACCATGTTCCCAAATAACCATCTTCTTGGCGAGTTTTGGAAAGACTCATCTAGATGCTGCACAAGTATTTGTCCTGGGACTTCGCTTGGGCCAGGCAACTCTGGTTTTTTGTATTCCCTAAGGTGCTGTTTACTTGCTGATTAGCTGGAAAGAAGCAGCACAAGTTCTGATTTTGTGTTTCTGGTTGCTGCAGGGGTTGTAGCTGAAGGTCTGCAGTCACCTCGCAGCCCAGCCAGGCAGGGAAAGCAGCAGCCATGCTCGTACACCTGCAGCCCCTTGGAAACATTTTGACCACATCAGGGACAAGCTTTTGACTACGTTTTCCTCAGCTGCAGACCAACAGCCCACACTGCAACCCCAGCCCACAAATAAGCAACACCATGAGGTTTCTGGGCTGCTCCCAGTGCCTAGAAGCCTGTATCATAGGTCAAAGAGGCGTGGGAGCTGTCTGGAGTTGCAGCAGTGTGGTGGCAGTGTGCTCTTCCAGGTCTGATGGAGAAACTACTGCAGGACTGAGAACTGTGTCAGGAAAATCCATGCTGACCCCTCTGGATCACGGTGCCTCCTGCACTCTGTCAAAGCAACACTGCAGCAAAGGTGATGGGAGAACCAGAGGGTGCTTGCAGCAACGCAGCGCCTGGCAGCTCGGAAACCTGTGGGGCCCCATGAGATGGAGTTTCTTTTTGTAAGAAACCCATCATAATTAGTGAGCAACACAAAAGCAGCAACAGAAAAGCAAACAGCAGTGAAGGACAGACAGGGTACAGCAGAGAGAAGACAGCAAACAGATACACGGGCAGCAGGGAGGGGAGGTGCCTCTGTGAAGCTGCTCTGTTCCCCATCAGGGCGCAGAAATGGCAGCAAGTTTTTGTCCAGTACCAGAAGCAAAGTTTGACAGCATTTGCTATACAAAGCACAGGTGAAACATTTCCCTTTTTCCTTCCCCAGAGAAACTCAACGCAGCCTGTAGTGGCTGGTTATTCATAAATTGATGCTTGAATGGTTTTAAAAGCACTTATCAAAAGCTTCAGAAAAAACACAAGCCACGTACCTTGCATTCCAATGTGCAAACATAATAATTGAACCCTTTGAGCCCCTGAACAAAGGAAAAATTATACAGGGCTGGACTAACAGCTAAGAAAACAAATCTTTCTGCCCAGGTAGAGCTCAATATGTTTGAGATTAACAAAGGAGTATTCAACAGCTGAATTCAATTAATCAAATTAAGAGATAAAACACAATTGGTCCAGAAATACTTCTCACCACTTGGATCTGGGGCTGTGGAAGTGTTTGGCAGATACACTGTAGGCAGGAATAGGAGAAAGCTCCTTATACAAGGCTACGGGGCATCCCTCTTCCCTGTGAACATCCAGCTGCCAGGAATCACTCTTGTAACACAGATAAATCCTCAGACTCCTCACCCTGCTTTATAATCCCAGTGAGCTCTGTTGTGCAGCAGGAGAGCAGCTTTCCAACCAAGCAGCTGTGACAGTGGCATCAGCAGTACAATGCAGCAGGCAGAGACCACAGATATGTTTTGTTTCCACTTTTTCACCGTGACTTTGAGATGAGAGAGAAAGGCACAGTGCTCCTGACAGGCAGGAACCCAGAGGTAAACAACAAGAAAGGAAGGAATGCATTTATACTGCTTGTTTAAATCTTCCAGATTTTTGGCTCAGTTCCTTGCAATTCCTCTGTTACAGAGCAGCAGGAGTTCTGAGCTGTTTGGAAAGGAGGGTTATTTGGCTAAATTCAGGAAGCCAGCTGAAAATCCCTCCTGCTTCACCAGACCCAGGCTTGCACTCAAGGGGCACCTCCAGAAAGCAGCTCAGGATGTGCAGCAACAAGTGGTAAGAGATGCTACAAGCTTTCCACCCTCCATCCCACACAGCTGATTTACCACTAGCAACATCTTAACAAGGTATTTTCTACTCTTAAAACCTCAGAGTAGAGTTTGAAAGCACCATAACCCAGCATGCGCCAAAGAAAAGCCGGAAACCTCTCCCCCAACTCTGCCTCTGAACACACAAATGAACCCAGCTGCCACAGATTTCTGCCATACCACTGCTAGCAGAAATAGGTCATCCATCCCAATGGTAATTGATACCTCATGGACACAGCAAAATAGCCTCAGCCCTGCATGCCTGTCTACGTAGACAAGCGGTAGCTCTTCTCCTTAAGCTCAGCTCCCTTAGCTTAGAAGGGAGATATTTCTGGAATGAGAAAAGCAGGCAAATCGGTGGGGCACCAGCCTCCTAACTTCAGGACTGCAAGCCAGGAGCCGTGGCAGAGATGGAAGGAAGCCACAGTTCAGAGGAGAAAAGCAGAGTAATTTACTGCAGGCTACAGAGAAAGGCAGACCTTCTTCCCTTCGTCCTTTTCTGCTCCAAGCCCTGCTGTTCTGTACAAGCCAGCTTCAGGAACACGCAGGGCAGCTGCTGGTGCAGCCCTCTCTGTGCTCCACTCTTTGCATGTGGCTCTGTGCAAAGAGGTGCTGCTCCTGCTCTCAGCTTTCCAAAAGCTGCACAAAACACACTGGCCTTGAGAGTGCATCAGGCAATGGTCAGGTCAAAAATAATCCTATAGCTGTACCACGTTTGCCCAACCCATATCCAGGCTGTTACACTGCTCTGGCCTCTTCTGGGAGCCACAAATGGCCTGAAGAAGCTGCTCAGAACGAGCTCAGTGTCTGTAAAAGCAACACAGCAATGCAGAGGATTGCTGAATTCCTTTGTGAAATACTTCCGCAAACAAAACTGCCACCAAGTTTGTTTACAGAATCCTCAACTACAAACTCAGGTCTCAGCTACTGCTTTAACTCCTGCCCTGAGATGTGAATCTCTCGAGCTTCTTTCCCCCAGCAAGTATGTTTCTTCTTTGTGTCCAAAATACTTCTTAATTCAACTCCATTATCAGAACTGATGCTTTGCTGAACAAGAGCAAAGCAGAAAAATATTCTGCACGTTTCATGAACGATTAAAAAAGAAACAACCAAGGACAATGATTACCTCCCCTGCGCAGCCTTCCTTCTGCATGTACTTTCGGATAACAGACCAGATCTGGCACTTGCTCAGCAGTCTCCCACCAGTGGCAACTTCGAAGCTCTCATAGGTCCCATACTTCTCCAGGACAGCATGAATGATCCTAATGGCCTGTCACACACATAGAAATGAAGTGTCAGTCAGAATACCTTCTCCACTCTCAAGTGCCATCTTCTACAGAACCAAAACCCCCAGGTGTAACAGAGCCCAGCTGAGGAAATCCCAGAGAAAGGGTTCAAAAAACTACTTAGTGTCAAGTGCCTGGGAGGTGAGACGTTTCTGTGGGAGAGAAATGGAATGTCTTGTTGACAGCTGAGTACCAGATAGATCAATACATAACACAGTCAGCATGGCACACACTGTCTTCATTCTATTGTCCCACTAATGCTCACGAGTGTTCATTAGCAGAACTGGGCAAACCAGAAGTGAAACAGCCTCACTGTACGTAGCACGCTCCCTCTAGATGCTAAAGCCGTGATTGTTTTCATCTTTTCTGCTTTCACTTCTTCTTTCAAACTCGAGTGTTTGCAAATCTTATCAACTTGCTTATTAGTTTTCTTATTGCAACACTGGATTGGTTTCAGGAACTCACAGCCCAGAAGGCAGTTGATACAGCACAGCTCCTGGCACAGGACATCTTCTGGCCTGGCACGAAAGTAGCAAGTGTGGAAACAGAACGGGTTCACGACTGGTCATTCTGGAGCTACAGAAGAGATCTTTGTTGTGCTCTGATAGCTCAGGACAACAGAGTTAGTATGAATCAGCTGCAGAGAATGTTAAAAAGAGGTGAGGAAGTTGTTAAAACCTCCATGCAGCTCAAAATGTTTGTTCTTCACTGGCCACCACATCTGCTTTGGAGAATCTCTGTAGAAACAACGATTTCAACACAGCAGTCAGGACATGAAAAAGTCAGGAGTGCAAATGTGCTCCCCCTCAGCACACGGGCATGCCCTGCAGTAAAGCTCCCACAGAGAGTATTTCCTCGGGCAGCACTGCTGCTTCTGCTGCTTCTTCCAGGCTCTCAGCACAACCATGGTGCTGCAATAACAGCACGTGAATAACAGCAGCACGTGCTGTTTTATTAACGTTACCCTCTATACGAGCACTTACTAGCATTTTCTTTCCCTAAAGTGAGAATGCACCAAAGTCATTTGCTAGCAATGACCCTCTCTAGTCTGTTTATTAATACGTATTCCAATTTGGATGACTACAACCCCTCCTCTGCAGTTGTTTTGGAGTCTTTCAGCAGCTTTACTGCATCTGTAAACCTGCCTGCAAGATGCCTACTCACCTGCTGCAGCAGGACAAAATGCCACTGCTGAGCTGTGTGCATTTTACCGTTCCTCCTGAGCTCTGTTGTCCTCTTTGTCATCTACCTGATGTTGTTTCAGCAAGTTCAGTCCCTGAGGGGACCCCTGCCTACTGCAAGAGGGACGACATATGCTGAACTTCACAGTCTGGAAAAGATTGTGGTGCCAGAGTTCAGCACACCTGGGCTGACTGCACAAACAAGCCAGGCTATGCGCCACAATACATGGCTTCAGCAGGGAACTAAAAGCACATAGTTACACAGTTAACAACAGACTGGCTGGCACTCATGCTCTTTGGCAGCGTATTTGCTAAAACTCTTACTCTAAGGGTCAGAACTCGCCTCTTTACTGCGTTAGTTCCACACCACCAACTTGCACTGAACCTCACGCCACGCACAAACAAGAGGCCAAGTTCACACTGAGTGTGGGAGCTGATTTTGTGGATCTGAGGCCCCCTCCACACGCACACCTGTCAGGGAGCAGTGGAAGCTGCAAAGAAGCCCTCTGAGCCCAGGAGCAGATTGCCCTTTCTCCTACCACAGTAAAACCTTGCTAACTGCTGAAGCTACCAGCTGGAGCCCTGCAGAAGTTACATTCCTTCTTCCTCCCTACTGAAGCTTACTTGCTTCTAACATCTGACACCTGCTCTCCCCTTGGGGAGGTTTGCTCTCCTTTTGCCTCCTAATGACCATGATCACCTTAGCACGTGCCCTTGCAGCAGCTCAGTCCAGCAGCAGCCACCAGACAGGCACTGAACTGAACGTGGGAGAGCCACCAAGGCCCCTCCTGCTGGCTTGCAGAAGGAAAGGATCACCTTTGTTTACCCACTGTGAAACTTTGTCCCCCATTCCCTAAGACGGCAAGCAGCAGGCAAAGAGGAACTGAGTGCAGATGGTGCACAGAGCTGACAGAAGGGGCATGTACTACAGCAACTTTCAGACAAGTCACAGACAGCAACATTCCTAAGATAGCACATTTGCTCTATGAGAAGCTGCTGAGCTCACATCAGCCCTTCCTGCCCGGTCAGTGGCCTGGCTGGGAGCAGGAGCCTGTCACCAGCTCAGCCCCACAGGCCACTTGTCAAGGGACAACAAACACTCGAGCTGTGCTCCAAGCCCTGCGTTGATGCTGTTCTTATGCCTCCGAGGAACTGGGCTGCCAACAGTCTTCTTCATCTCTAATAGCATAAGCCATAGAGGGGCTGGAAGGAGCCTTCTGATTTTTTTCTGTTTCTATAGGAAAAGGAAACAAAACAAACCAACAAACTCCAAACACCTCTAAAAACAAAACCAAAAGCAAAGAAAAACAAAGAGCCCTCCAAAAAACATCAAAATCCCCCAAACAACAAATAAAAACAGCTCCCAATTAAAATAACAAATCAAGAATCCAAAACCAAACCAAGATAACCCACAAGAAGAAAACAACAACAAACCACCAGAAAACAAACCCCCAACAAAACAGAAAACAAACTCCACAACACAGAACAGCTGATTCAGCAGAACTGAAGGGGGCATCAATCTCAAAACACAAAAAATAAGGAACTGGTTGGTCTGCTCTTGCACCAAGATGTTAAATCAGTACAAGGTGCTGAGAGCAGGGTGCCAGCAGAGGACCACTGCCACCACTGCTGCCGGGTTCCTGCCCATCTCCCCTTCACTTGAGCACTCACCTCCAGATGAAATACCTGTCCACAGCTCTCACTCCTGACTGCTACATGCTGTGCTTCACTGAGAAGGCAGAAGAACCTCTGTTCTCCCAAGATACATTACAGAGACAGAGAACTTGTAAAGATAGGTAGAATTATCTAACACAAATATCTCTTGCAGTGGGTGTAAGAACAAGATGAGAACACTCACACTGTTTATGAACAGTTAATTTCATTCCAAGAAATGCACAGAGACAATTTCAATTATTCCCATTTGAGAACACTGTAAGCCAGCTGTACCAGAAGAGAAGTGGAGAAGTAGCTCTGGGCAATTCAATTTACTGCATTAGTCAGAGACCCAAACACACTAAAACACAGGAAGGAGTGCAAGAAAAGCCACACCGAGGTCGTTACAGGAATCCAAGCATCTCCCCTGAAACAGCATTGCTGGCACCAGTTTAACTGGGGCAGAGGTGTAGCAGGAACAGCGCTGGAAATGCCCAGCTGCTTGGAAAGTTGTTTACAGAGACCAAACAACGTGGGTAACACACTGTAGTCCTCTAGAGAAGTAGGAAGCAAGAGGTGACGTGGCTCTTGTGTGCAGGCAGAGCATCGAGGAGCCCACTCTTTTTGCCTCCTGCACTGATGGCCCAGCGCTCTCCGTTTGCTGCCATTCGTTTGTGATTACTACCTGTGGCAGAGAACAGCCAGGAATATTTTGGTAGCTTATAAAGCAACTGAAGTGATGATGAAAAAGACACAGACTGCTCTAAGAAGAGCCTACAACCTAGCTGCCATCCACCGTGCTTGCTGATAGTTATGGGTTAAGGGTGCTGCCACGCAGGACAACCTTTACACCTTCCAGAAAACAAACCAGGCTCAGCCAACAGGATACAGGCTGAGGACTGCTTTACATGAAGCCAGCCAGATGTTTCAGTTCTTGGTCTGTTAGTTCTAAAGCAACAGTGCAAAGGTTCCTGCCAGCTCCCAACCACGGCTGCAGGTCTGTAGGCAGTTTGAGGCACAGAGTACAATCCAGCCCCAGGAGTCACTCTCTTATCAGCTACAGAAGGTGTATGTTGAACATGTAATCAAAGAACAGCTTAGACAAGCAAAACAGAACAAAGCAACAAACAACCCAGAAGATAAGCAAGGTCACACAGCAGCAGTGAGGACGAGGAGCAGGCCAGAGGAGTGCCTCTCTGCATGGCACGTGCTGCAGCTTCAGCCTGGCCAGCCTTAGTGGTGGCTGCTGATCTCAGAGCCAAGATAATGAATCATGGATCAAACTTTATCATGGACCAGTTGGATGAGAAGCGACATTAAAGCCCACTCAGTCCCAACTCCTACCACAGGGGTGACAACTGCCACACATCAGGCTTCCTAGGGCCCCATCCAGCCTGGCCCTAACACCTTCATGGACAGGGCATCCACAGCCTCTATAGGCAGCCTGTGCCAAGGCCCAAGTAAAGAAGTTCTTCCTAACATCTAATCTAAATCTCTCCCCTTTTACTTCACAGCTGTAACCCCTTGTAATATCACTACACTCCATAACAATGAGCCCTTCCCCCGCCTTCCTGTAGGCCCCTTTAGGTTGGCAAAGACCTCTAAGATGACCCAATCCAGCCATGTCCCTCACTGCCACATTAACATGCTTCCTGAACCTCTCCCTGGGCAGCCTGTTCCAAAGCCTCATTGCCTGTTGGGAGAAAAAGGTTTCCCCAGCACCTGACCTGAACCTTCCCTGGTGCAGAGTGATGCCATCACTCTCACTATCGCTGTCACCCAGGAGCAGAGGCTGAACCCCTCCCCACACCCTCCTGTCAGGGCTGCAGCTCCACACTGACCCACCCCATTCCCTCAGCCACTCCCATAGGACTGCGCTCAGACCCCTCACACTTTAACTCCCTTTAGCTCCGCTCCCTATTCAGGACACGCTCCAGAGTTTGTCCCATTCCTGGTCTGTCTCTCATTGAGATGCGGGCCCGTCAGTGCCGTTCAGAGGACCGATCCCCTCCGCTCCCGCAGGCTGCACCGCTGCTGACACAAGCCGGGATTCCTTCCGGCCCAGCCGGCCGCCGACACCGCACAGCGGAGCCGCCCGGAGCCCCGAGCATCCTGCCGTCCTCCTGCGGCCACCCTCACCTGCGCCACGAAGCGATCGGAGGCGTCGCGGTATTTCTCCAGCACCGCCTCGGGCACGGGCTCGGCGTATTCGAACTGCGGATCGTAGGCGAAGCGCTCCCTGAAGAACCGCTCCCGTTCGGTCTCCACGTTGCGCGGCCGCAGCGCTACGAGCAGACACGGGCTGCGCCTCCCGGCCCCGCCGCCCTCCTCACCCCGCGCCCGCGCGATGTGAGGCAGCGACGCGGCGGCCCGCATCCTCCCGCGACCGCCGCTCCGCCGCATCCCGGCGCCGGTTTCCGACAAACGCCGGCTCCCCCGCGGGCAACGGGGTGAACCGGACGCCGCCGGGCGAGGCGGTGGAGAAGGACACGAGCACAGCCGGGAGCCATCGCGGTCCGGCAGCGCGTCCAGCCCCGCGCGGCCCTGCCCGCCCGCCGCCCCCGGGTCCAGCACCATCGCCTCCAGCGCGACGGCGGCCCCGCTGCCCCACCGCCCCCTCACGCCGACGCGCTCAGCCAATCCGCGCCGCGGCCGCCTTCTCGCAGCCAATGGGAGAGGCGCGTGGCTGGAGGCCCCGCACACCGCCCCGCCAGGCTCCGCCCACCCCGTGTGAGGCGGCGGGAAGATGGCGGATGGCGGCTCTGAACATCTCGATGGTTTTGAGCTGCTCTGTGCGGTGGACTCAGCCCCGTATACCAGATTTTGGCACGTGTGTGATTGTGCCATGAGGCCGTGGTGGCGTGTGCCACCCACTCGTGAGGTCTGGAAAGGAGAATCTCATGGGCTTTCCTAAGGAGGACATTGAGACCAACCCCGAGCTCGCGGGATCACCCCAAACTCAGATCATACATCGAAGAGCACCGTGCGGACACTTCTTCAACACTGTCAGGCTTGGGGTTGTGGCTGCGTCCCTGGGGAGCCTGGTGGTGAAGAACGCATCCCCAGCATCCAACTTGCTGCAGCCTTGAGCCTCATTTCCCATCACCACTCACCCTCACACACTCACACAACGGCTGGGTTGGAAGCCACCTCAAAGTCCATTGAGCTCCAACCCAGCTGACCCCCCAGCTCAGGCTGCCCATGGCCCATCCATGGCCTTGGGTACCCCCAGAGATGGGCACCCACAGCTCTGGGCAACACCTCACCGCCATCTGAGTGGAATGTTTTCCCCTGGTACCCTAAACGAAATCTCCCTTTGGATTTCCATTGCACATTGGTTATCACCCAGCCATGCTCGTGTAGGCGAGCTGGGAGACGCTGCACAAAGGAGGCTGGAGGTGTAGAAGCCAAGTATGTTTATTAGGTAGATCTGCTGTTTCTAAGCCAGTCTTGCAGCAGGGACTCAGCTTGTTGCCTGTGTGATGGGGGCTGGCGGGGGCCCTTCTGCAAGCTGTGCCTATCCTGTCCTTACCCACCCTGGTGGCTGCCCCTGCGCCATGAGTGCTATCTTGCTTATATGGAGTCCTGTATAAAAAAGAGGCTATGACACCACGGCCTGAAGAGTCTAAAGATAGCTTGCTAGCATTGAGGGCTTGCTCACACGCCGTAATCCACGAGTGTGATGTTAATGAGCTGGCAGCGTGGTTAATTATCCATCCACTAGTGGGAAGTGACAAGACTCTGAAGTGTAATTAATCACTGCTCCCAAAACAAAAGAAAAACAAACATTCAGAATGGAAGAGAGTGCCAACCCATCCACCTGAGCTGTTGTTCTTGCTCCTTCTCATAGATACCCAGCTCGGAGTCCTTTACTCCCCTTCATGCCAGCTTCTGGTGGATACAAGCATGGAGAGAAGCTGGTCATCACCTCCTTCAGTTCTTTCTAGGCTCCTTAAGGACTCTGTGGCCCCTCCTCCCTACCTCTGGGCTGGATCTAAGAGCACCCATCTGCTCCGGCTCTCTCTGCTCCTTGTTGCTAGCCCCAACCTTGGTGCTCCCCAGCAGTATGTCATTGATGGAGGTGAGCGTCAGGTTGCTGAAGACCATGTTGAGGTGGTCAATGCCTCGCAGCTCCTGGACATGCACTTTCTGCTTTTGCTGGTTGCGCCATCGCTTGCACAGCTCTGAACTGCGTTTGTTGACAGTGTCGTCCCCGTCACCATAAATCATGTCCACAGGGTCCTCGTAAGGAAAACGCTCATCGTATATGTAAGTCTCCACTGTGGGATAGCCTGTGCCATAAAGGCAATATGTGTCCACACCGGGAGGGGGTAATCCCTTCAGCAAGTCCTTCATGTCCTCCCACATGTACCAACCATCCTCCAAGTTGACGTCGGTGAAGAACTGCTGGTAGTCCCGGTAGGTGTAATTGTAGGAGGGTGTGGAGATGAAAACATGGTCCTCTGGCCAGGCCAAGCTCGTAGGGAACATCCAGGGGCTGGTGGTGGTCATACGCTGCTCTTCACGCAGCTTGATGTTGGACATAAGTGGGATGCCCTGATTATCACCTGCAGGACAGACAGACCGCACCAAAACACACTCTTGGGCAGCTGAGATCGGACACCTCTT